TCCAACAGTGAGCATGAAGCTGGTGTTACCAAAGTTAGAATCTCCATAAAATCCTTTTCTTTTAAATGCTGGAATATTATATTTAGTCTAGTCAGATTATGTCGCTCCTCTAATGCTCTTAAAGATCTAAATTGTTTCCTTTGGTTACTGCTGGGATTGCATACCGCTAGGTGGCTGTCAGGTTGAATAGCATTAGCAGGCAATTTTTTCTTTAGCCAAAACAGACATGTGGTTTCTGTCTCTATTTGTTCTCCACTATGAGGAATTTGAAATATATCCTCAGCACGTGTCTGAATGGTTAGGGACCTTCAAATAAACTTCAAGTTCTTTTTGTGACATTTTWTGGGTGAATTTTGAGACCATTTTTCATTTAATTTTGATTTGAAGGAATTCTTAAATTACTATCAATGTAAAACATCTGACATGTAAAGCATGTCTACACTTCTTATTGTGCTCAAATCTCCAGACCTGAGAGAGAGATGGCCAAAAGAAAAAAAAAATACTCAAACTATTCATTTCAACACAGGCTGAACTCTGCAGTAAATCCCAATCTGACAGTGATCTGTGGTTCAACAAGTACATTACTTTGTCAGCAGAAGTTTCAACAATGAAAGGCCTCACCGATACTTGGAACCAAGTGTGAGAACATAACCGTATTCAAAATGAAATGAGACAGACAGACTCACTGGCAAGTGCCACATCCAGGACGCGGAATAGGCATAATGAGCTTGGCATTGTCCTCATCATTACTGCAGTTTGCTCTAAATTGCCAGCCTGTGAGAGAAGACACCTCTGCAGAGCAGTTGGTGTTACCCAGCCATGCTTGGCAGCTCAATGAGAGCATGTGCTGAGGGCAAATTAAGTTTTTTTTACTCAAAAGACACATGCCATCATCTGTGGGTGACCTGTAATGAAATAAAAAAAGGTAGCTCTGATAGCAGAACAGCTGCGATCAGTGACAGGTGATCAAAAGCATGTGACATGAAGAAGTCTTTTAGGAAATAACAKATGTGTTTGGTACAGCAATGCTTTCTTTGGAGTCAGCCATGGACAAGGGGTTATTGTTATTTTGTTGAAAGGTCAGGCTTACACAATTTGGCAACCTCAGACATCACTTCYTACTGACTGAGAAAAAATTCAGGAAAGTCCTCAGTGACCCTCATCAACACCACTGAATACATAACTTGTGCATCTCCAAAAGTTTCTGCTCAGTGGAGATGGAGGACTTGCAAATGAGAAGGTGGAAATCCCATTCATGTATAAATGAAGGAACCTTTAAAAGGGGTGGGGGTATTATGGAAAATTTACTTTTTAAAACTATATCATGTTATAATGTCATTCCCTAATCCAAAACATACCCAGAGTGTTGCTTTGACTCATTTATGTATGTTTGAGAAATCCCTAAATCTCCTGTGGTAGCCATGTGGAGCTGCCCAAACACTTGCAGGTACAAAGCACCGCCTATTTGTACAAAGCTCCTCCCTGGAGCTCAGTCCCCAGCCGAGCTCCCGCCCCACAGAGCACCCCTCCCCGAAAGCATTGTTTAATAAAAAAGTGTTAGTGTTGAAAATGGTAGGAAGTTCTTAAAGAGATGGAGGCCAATTTTAAGGCATTTAGATAGGCCATTATTCAAAGCCAAATTTACTTACCGTATTTATTCAAGTATAATACATAAAATTTAATCCATAAAATCATCCATAAAGTTGGGAGGTAGTACTATACTCGGATAAATATTTTTACTTATGTATTTTAACTGAAATATTGGCTTCATTCACAAAATGCCTTAGTCCGGAAATGAGACCGCGTCATAAAAAGCAGCTGAAACGAGCTTACACCCGACACTCCATCGTGATTCAGAGCGAGATAGTAACAGATCCAGGCAGGCGACATGAAGTGGGCGGAAAAAAGCGGTGGGGGGGGGGAACAGTCCTGCACCTTGGTAATGATAATGATCTACAGATATTAGCGTGTGACCAAGCCGCTGCTGGAACAACAACAACAAACACAGTAATGGCGGCCGTCTACCRGTGTTCTGAAAAGTTTGAATCCCTGAAAAAAAAGTTTCCCCACCGGAGGGGGAGCTTGCAAGTAGGAAGTAATCTGCTTTTCTCCTTGAAGATGGCCCAAATCTCATGTGAAGTCTCTGACTTTTGTGTTGGCGCATCCTGGTGGACTATGTGTAAAATGCCAGAATTCAAATAATGCTGCTACAAAGCTCAAAGTTTGCTGATATATGTACATATGTGTTGTCAAAATACCTTTTAGTTCATATGTTGTTAAAATAAAATGAACAGTGCAATTATCATTTTACTGATATATATAAAGACTGTAAAAGGCTGAAAAATCTTGAAGTCTGTATAAAATTGGAGGTAGCTTGAGGATTAAATTTTTTATGCTTTTTAAGCTCAAAGGGGGGGGGTCGTATTAGACATAAGATCGTACTATACATGAATAAATATGGTGGGTTTTCAGAACAACTGAAGGTAACATAGTTACTTGACTGTGGTGCAGAATTAATCTATTTGCCTGGAAAATACATAATATCCCCTTAATAAGGTTATTGTCCTGCTAAACCTCGTTATCCAAAGATTTGCCAAAATAACTGCTGCTTTAATTATCAGGACTGATGAAAATTTGAGTTTATGAGCTTTTTCATTTGTAGGTAATCCTAAGGACCATAAAACTTGTAACCATGAGCCATTTTTATGTCCTAAAAATAGGTTTACTGTTTACATTTTAACCACAGACATGCCTCTTTATTCCACTGACAAATCTCCCACCCCTGTGTGCTTCCCTGGAGACAGTAGCTGTCTGCTTTCCAAAAACAAAGATTTATCAGTGAGAATCCCTAGAATTAATGTTCAGAGTTATCTCAACACTAAGGCGGTTTGAACTYCCATGTCTCCAGATGTCTACGTTTAATCACGACTCCAGTCTGATCTGCTTTGGTTTACTTTTTTTTCTTATGCAGAGAATGTGTTTAATACCTTCCCTCAAACACTTCCGCAAGCATAACAACAGAAGTGCTTCAACACCGACACTGTTATGCTCATCCTATTTTTTACTGACAATGTATTATGTTCACATGCTGGTTTTGTTGACGTTGAGCTGTGAAGGCCTGCAAGTTACTGTGATGTTGATGTTGAGAGCGGAATTATGGTGAGAATGTGGAGCGACGTTCCGGGGCAGACTGTATTTGGCTGTTTTGTCTTGGTGGTGGTCTGAGGCTGCTTAATAGCAGCGAGCTTTGGTTGTGGAAAAGCACTGAACTTCTGGATTGATTAAATACCCCCGAGATCCAGCAGCTGGCAGCTCTAATTCATTACACACGTCCCCAGTGCGCTTAGCTTAAGTGCTGCCTCTTGATCACCCRTGGAGAGAAATACCACACTGAAGCCTCTTGTGTATTCCAATATAGTTTGTTGCTKAGAGTAAAAGGGCAGCATTAGAATTTGCAAATAGATAAATAATATTGGTAAACCACAGAGCTTAGCTAAAAAAAAATCTGGAGAAGCTTCATAGAGAAGCTTCAGGACTTTTTGGTTTAGAGAAAAAGACATGTGCGGTCTTAAGGGTGTTTATTCCTTTCAGGATTTACTCAGTTGTAAACTTAAGTATGGATTAATATCYGCTGGTATGTCATTATTAATTAGCTTCTAATTATGAAGTTACTATAAGGAGTTCATGCCAAGCTCTTAGGGGAATTTAGTAAGGCTCGTTTTAATGAACTCTAACAGAGTTAAAAGGCAATTTCCAGTCAAATGTAGCACCTACCTTCTTGACCTTTTCCTGCCCTTTTTTTTTTACAGCACAACGACATATCTACACAGTCAATGAGCAGGACAGTAAAAACTGGGAGTGAAGATATAGCTTATCAAAGAAAATTGTGTGATTAAAAACGACCAAAAATATTTGCCTTAGCATGCCAAGTTGTGGACAGCTGGAAAAATCAGAATACCTTACTGAGTAAGGCACCAGCTTGTCAAAAATTAAGTATTCAGTAGTGCAGGGTTTTCTTTACAAAATACTGCTATATTGATATAGTAAAAAACACACAGTGAAGGTTTGAGTCGGAGTTGAAATTATGTGTCTTTCCTCATCCAGAAACCACCTTAATGTGGGATGTCAAGATCAAAGAAAAGTTCAACAAATCTGTGGTTAGGTACAAACATGCCTCTGATGTCTGACTACTTTCTGTATGTTCTCCAGCAATCCTCAGCTTCTGAAGTTGTTTTGACACATTGYGTTAGCAGCTGAAGGCTTCGGCTTCGTGTTTTTGTTCCTTCATTGGGGTGAAAAATTGCACTTTCTGCCATGTTTTCCTTCGTGGTTAAACTCACGGTATATCCTCCCATAGCACTCCATGTGCTTTGGATAAAAATGTCCAAATACTATGATGTATGTTAACTGAAATGAACCATGTTAACGGATCGTTGGTTTTGTGTATGTACACCATGCTATATCAACAGAATTATGCAGAGAAATGATTGCACTTTGGCGCTAACAGACAGCTCAACAGTTAATGAACAGAAACATGCRGATCTGTGCTGGTTGTACGCTCGAAATCATCAGAACCAGCATKCTGTTATTAGGACTTATTGCAACCATAGTAAAAGTAGACTCTGCATGGGTTCAGGCCACAAGCATCTCTCAGTTACATAACAGCRTTTTTATGCAGACACAGGCTTTCATGTGTTTATTTGTTTCAGATTCCAGCAGCTAAACAGATGAATGTTAAAATGGGGTTCCAAAATCCTGATAGGATTAGCCAAAGAGCCAGTTTATCATTTAGTTAGAGTGAAAGAGTGGAGACTAAATCTGTTTAAGTAGGTTTGCAGGCTTCTGTAATGAAATATTTGCTCTGAGGTGAATGGAGCGTTCAGTGTGCCAGATTTATGCTATCTTTTCCTCAATGTCTTGTAAGGGATCTTCATTTACCTGTTGATGAAAAGTGATGCAAAATGCAGCCCATGTTCGACTACAATGATAAATTACAGTGAGCAAATCCAAAGCTGAATTTATTTAAATGTGTGTTTTAAAACCATGAAGTAAAGTACATTACATATACATAATATTACATACATTTACAGTAGATGATCATCATGTGGTGATTTTACACWGGATCAAGTGAAAAGTGCAGTAGAAAGGACAGTAATCAGAAGCTTTACAGCTGAAAAAATAACAAATTTGAAAAACTTTATTTTTTTACTGCATACCTGATGTAGTGCAGCAAAGCCCTGGTGCCGTCCTGAGTGATTCTGGGCAGATTTTTTTTTATTTTTACGGATGACAGTGTTCAGAACCAGGCAGAAAAGCCGTGTTTTTCTTTCACCACCCATGTGCTGTCAATCACTTTGCCATGCTGGAAAATACAGAAAGGTCTTTGTCATTATCTGGGGGAAAACTCCTAGGTGGGTAAATGAGGAGAATTTGCCTTCTCATCTGCAGAAAACAGCAGTCAGAGCTATTTCAGTTCTGAGCCTCTGGGAGGAATTCTCATGTGGGGGTCTCAGACTGTAAGGACTGCATTGGCCCATGTTTTCGAAAGAGCTCACCTGGTCATCAGAGACCTGCTCCAGGTAAAGGTGGGTGGCGTTCACYACTTGCATTCTGCTGTAGCCGTAGTCTGTGCTGCGGAACGCGCTCCACTCTTTGGGGTTTGGATTGAACCTGTCCGTCCTCTCTCTGCAGCCCTGTGGGAGATTCAGCGGTGATGAAACATTACTTTATGAGAAAGAGACACGTGATTTTTCTCAGACGTTTTCTCAAAAGCCCCCCCCCCCACCTTTTTTTTATGCTGCAGCTGTGCCTTAATGCAAATTTGGCCACATCTTGTTGTGCTGATGACTAATCCCGCTGTGGCTAGATGACAAAGTGTGCCCTGCGCCGCTCGCCACCACATCAGAAAAACACTTACCCAGAGGAACAGCTGGTTCTAAACTCATGTGGCAGAGCAGCAGCTGCACAAAGAGGACTGTGTACAATATGTGACAGTGTTTTTGTTGATGTTACTGAATGCATTGATCTATGTGGAAAAAGGTTCACAGCAATGCAGGGATGTGGAAGTACTTACAGCAGAGCCTGCTATAATGTGTACCGGAGCCTTGGGGTTAACATAGGGCTGCTTTGTGCTCCCATTGTACACCTGTGAAGAGAACAGGGAGTTCACATACATGACTGGAAAACACAAAGAGAAGAACATTTGTGAGAACTCTGATTCCAGGAGCTGACCTTGTCCCCATAAACTGGCCAAAGTCTCTCATACGTGTGCTCATGTGCCCACAACTCCACATCCACCCCTGCAAGACATTTAACGATGAATAACTGGTATGTAATCTAAAGAAGGGGTTCTTCACCTTTTTGACCTCGGAGCCCAATTTGTTGAACATAAAGTGGCACGATAATTATTGTAATCTAAATCTCGATTTAATTTTTATTGTATTTACATCATAATTAAACTATCATAACTAGCATAACTAAATTAAATAGACTTAAAGTTTAAAAG